AGGTTTGTGTAGCAGCCGTGCACAAACATTACTAAATCTATAATGCTTGGCTAAGATATTGCAATGAAAAGCTTCGCTTTGGCAGCGAACTCAATTCACAAACTGAATTTATTAGTTGTATTATATTTGGCTGGTAGCCTGTTTGCTCTTGATTGTGTAATCATGGTGTCCTAGTTGCCTTGTACATTGAAATTTAGCGGTGAACTATAGTAAAGCTAGTAAGTAATTTTATGTATTGTATGTACATACATACATCGAATCCACAAATGGCTTTTATGCACGCATTAGCGTGATGCCTCTGGTAAAAGTTCGAAAGAGAAAGAGTAGAAAGCGATATGGCGAGCCTTGAACAAAGCAAACATGGTTGAAGAAATGGAGACGGAGGCGGCGTATATGTATATATATAAAAGTGCAGAGGTTTATTTAAAAAAAATACATAAGAAAATACCTACCATATATACAATATTATATTCTTATATTTATAAACAATTGGGTTAGGCTAAGATGGAATAGTCTGGTAGTCTAATGAGTCACGCATAGACCAATTTTGATCCTTTGCTATACCATATGGAGTTCTGTTATGCAGTTCCTTTCGGATGTCCTTTCTTGACGCGAATTTAAACTCTGTGTCCTCACTAATGATACCTTTTCCAATGTCTCATACCGTGCGACCCCCAAATGGTTAAAGCATTGCCTTGCCAGTGGGGCAAGTGCATAAGAGATGCTCTATGGCATTATGCGCCTGATGCCTTGCGTTAAAAATTTGGGTAGCAGTTCAACTTTATTATCGGCAGGTGATTCCAGAAGGAATATGAGCTATGTAGACTAACATGTTTAATAACAATGAAAATATTAATATGACTGACCAGATAAGAAATCGTACATGCTGAAAAGTCCAAAAAGGGATATACAGCGTCTACCAATAGGGATCACGTGATTGTGATAGCTCGTGATGGCCATGTTTGTTTACGGATCATGTTTCACGTCTAAACATGGGCACATTGCGTAAACAATTTGGTAACTAAATTATTTGTTCTAGGAGTATGTTAATTGAACATCAACCAGCAACATGCGAGTAGCTCAAATACAACATGCAGAGTACTATAGACGGAATTCCAGCCGAAATGCTGCACCGGGTCATCAAAAACTGGTATAAACTTAATTTTGAGTGTTTTATTTAATGTTATCATCACGTCGTTCTTGTTGGTTGAGCGATAGCCAAGGGCCAAGCCTTCCGTCCTGAGTCCACAGATTACTTTGCTGTTTAGATCAGCTAGTTCATTTTCAGCTACCCCTTTTATGACTTGGCACCTAGATGAGGTATACGCGGTTGTAGACTGATTAGGCTGTTCAGCCGTTCTATAGATCCCTACACCAAAGCAATTAAAGAAAGCTCTTTCAAAGCTTTTTTTGTTTAGACGAAAAGGTCAATAAAGTAGTTCCCATTCGTTGTAGCTCATCACTCACTTTTTGATCTAATAAGCCATTAGGCATGTATTACGATCGCGCATTCCTTATATAAAAATTCATATTCTAGGTTACCTTCTTTCTCTCTTGTTACAGTACGGGTCTACTCTCTAGCTCTAGCCATGCACTGACGAATTCAGCTATAAACTTTTATTGCGCTAAAATAAAGCTGCGAATCGAAAAAGCAACTAATGTAAATGCAACAAAGTGGCATGATCATAAAGAGTTAACAAAGAAAGAGCTTATCACTGGAACTTCAACCGCAAAACTTTGTGATTGCTTTCATAGAAGCAATATGGTGAATAGAGGAGAGTCGAATGGAAAACGACTAATATACCTTATATACGTGCTTTTATATGAAGTGTCTTCGATGCATATTGTATCCATATTCGCTCCAACATCCATACTTTAGTTCAAACACACAAAAATCTTAATCTTTTTAAAAGTTCTCGGCACAATCCTCCATGGCTGCAGTAAATCTAAAAGAAAATCTCTGTAGAAGATTTTGGCCTGCCAAAATTCGATTTTTGATCAGATCAAAAAATTGGTAAGTCATTGTACGCAGAACCATCTACAAAACATGCAGAAGATTCGAAAAATGCTAGTTCAAGAAAAACTGCTTTTTAAGATAAGCTGATAGAGCTGATGGATCGAGGAGCTACACTTTAGAAGCCTGTAACTCCAAAAATATCGAAAATACGCACTTAAATCTTGGGGGAGTACTTTTTAAAGCTATAAACTGTTAGAATTTCACACTAGGTGTGTCCTTTAAGTGTTCCAAAAGGTTTTAATGGGTTAATTCGTTCCTATTTGTATGATTTTACTTTTATGAAACAGTTAATCTCATTCCAATGTTACATTTTAATGTGATATTTGAAGAATATTCTGATGGATTTTCATGGAGAAATATTTTAAAAATATGGCAATAGTAGCAATTACTACGGAGCGTCACGGAAAATTGCGGGTGAATTGCGGTGCCACTCATAAGTAGATGCTGGATCATCTGAAATCAAAAAATCTATATAGATACTCGCTTTGCCTTAGTAAAGCTGGTAGGTTTTTGAAATTTTAATTTTTCAAAGGTATAAAATTCCCATAACTCCAGTAAATTTTTCTCCAATCGACTTCTAATTTCGACACGATTTTTTTGAGATATTATGCAGTCTTTTAAGACAAAAGTAAAATTCGTAAAAAAGGGTTAATCTTGCTTTTTCTCCAAGTACCCATGTGACTGTTGTATACATACATATGTACTTGGATTGTTGACCGCTACATTCACATTCCTCTCAGCTGATCATAATATATCTGAAGTTCAGCTACCGAAACGTCTCGTGTTGTCTTAATCAATTTTGCCGCATAATTCTGCTTGACTATATGAAAAACATACACACAAAAAATTCTTATTTGCCTTACGATTTAAGAGTTTTATTGATTTCATTTCTGTGCAGTCGATTTTTTTCCATTTTTTAATCTTAATCAATAAAAATGTGTGTTCGTATTTGCATAGCTTTTTAATATAATATAAAGCCTTTAAAGCAAGTGGCGGCCGGCTTCAAACAGAATACATTTCCTGATGATAACAACAATAAAAATCAATTTAATATGCAAATGAAAATCATAATAAAATTTGAGGCCTTACTACTAAGTGGCTACTAAAAGCTTACTCATTCATACATAATCATTCTTTGTTTGGTTTAAATTTTTTGTATATATATTCAATTGTGTTGACCGAAAATTCATTCATAAAAATGTTTGGTAAGTAACATTTGTTTATATGTACATGCGCTTTAAATTAGCATAACTATTCATACACATTTTTTGTTGTTGTACTACCATTAATTTGTCCACATTGTTCAAAATAACTGCACTAGCTGGCAGCCTGTAGGGTATATTCGAATCTATATATATGCCGACAGCCTGTTGTATTGATAGATTACAAGAAAAACTGTGAATAATTTATCCAAAGTGATTGCCCATAAAATAATATAAGAAAATATAATAGCAGAATAAAATAACAACAACAAAATACACCGGAAGTCGCAATGTGTGTAATATCAAATGGAGATGGAAAGGCAGCGTATAAAGTGCGTATGCATTTATTGATAAATAAATGCAGTTAAAAATACAAAGCAAACTGCGCGTAGAAGCAGCACATGCAACAGAAAGATAAAAGCGCACCGATCGTGAGGCAAGTGCCAAGTGTAATGCGTTGAAAATGATAAAGCTGTATAAGAATAAGAAAAAACTTTGGCTGCACCGAAGCTATAATACCCTTAATAAGTGCATTTTTGATAGCACAAAAGGGTATAAAATATCTGTACCAACTTTATTGAAGAAAACTTTGTTAAATAAAAAAGTTTTTCCTACAAGCACTAGAGTTGTTCAAAAGCTTAATTGGTCACTTCGTATGGCAGCTATATGCTATAGTTATCCGATCTGAGCAATTTCTTCAAAGATTGTATGATGTGTTGGATAATAAGCTGTGCCAAATTACGTGAAAATGTCTTTTCAAATAAAAATGTTTCGATCTAAGGACGTGAGTTTGACCGTTCACTTTTTTATGTCAGCTATATACTATAATTGTCCTTTCTGAACAGTTTGTTCGGATATTGTAGTATTGACTTTGTCAATAAATTTTGCGAATATACCTTGTCAAATAAAAAAGTTTTCCAACAACTTGAGCACGATCGGTCAGTTTATATGGCAGTTATATGCTATAGCTGTCCGATATCGATAGTCTCGACAAATAAGCAACCGAGAAAAAAACGTGCACGAAATTTCAGAGTGATATCTCAAATATAATATTAAGGGCCTAGTTAGCGGTACACAGACAGAGGGACAAGCTAAATCAGCTCAACTCGTCACGCCGATAATTTATATATGTATATACTTTATAGAGTCCCCGACATTTCTTTCTGAGTGTTACACAATTCGTAGAAAATATAAATTTAATATACTTTTATGTATTGAGTTGATGTGGAAAACGTCCACCAACGGATGGGAATTCATTATACATTAGAGGTATTAGGTTTGGACCAAGGGTCTAGAAACAATTTCATTTATATTCAGTGCTAAACCATTTAACCAACAAAAACGGCTTACAGTCAGCTGGAAAGTTGGAAATCCTTATATAAGGTATATTGTTGGCAGCGGAAGGTCTGAGCTGACTACACTAACTCTTGTCATTGCTTAGGTATACTCAGATAACATGCTTCCGTGAACGTGTGGCCGACATATACGGCATTAGGCCTGTGAGAATCAAATATAATAAAATCGTTATAATATGTAGAATAAAGGAATTGTGGTAGTTTGTAAAGTAAATTCACACATTTTCGGTATTAAGCTATAGTATATCCAATTATCTTATATAAAGCTCACCGGAAATTTGAAATTATTAAATTAGGTATATGGAGACTACGGATATTGATCCGTTTTATCAATTTTAGGCATCAAGACATATTATATAATTACCAGATGCTCTCTGAGTTATACCAATATAACTGCCATATTAACCAAAATACGAGTATAAAGTATAAAGTCAACCTGACCATTGAAAATCCATGTATTAACCATTCGGAGATAAACATAGGATAAACGTGATTTTACAAATTTTTTAGCACCAGAGCACATAATTACCAGGAAAAGACGTTTACTAACTTTCATTATTATATCTAACCATATATGGTAAAAAGTACAGTCTGAATACAAGTATATTGGAAAATTACAATAATTGTATTGTAATTTGTATTATTGGTTCATACATATGTATACAAAAATGCTCGTTAGTATTGCAAATAGTTAAACACCTCGCGTTATACTATTTTTCACTAATATTCTCCAACAATTTTGTGTAGGTCGTATCATCATTTGCGAAAATTGTAAAGGTAACAGGTCTCCAATAGTATGCCAGTTTATACCGTATTTATCAATTGCAAGGAAGTCTCCATTCAAGTTGCTGAAATATAAAAGATAAAACACCACCAACGCTGATATGTAAAATTTCTTTACCTAAGATAGCAGTTTTTAAACCACCAACCACTTCTATAATATAGAGCACAATTTTTTGGATCAAGATCATTATCACGATAAGCCGTTGAAAATTTCATTCCCAAATGAAAAGTTAAGGAATCGCCAGCAGTGCCGCTGTAAGTACCCAATTCCTTCAAAACAAACTCCTCTGACTCGGAACCAATAAGAAACTTTGAATATTTTGCATAGTATGATGTGTACTTTTCATTCCTTTTTCTTAATATAATACCAATCTCCTGCTCACAGCTACTAGTGAGTGTGTACAATTTTTCCAAACCGATCCAATAGCTTTCGTTTATGTCGCCAAATCCCATTTTATAGTAATTCCAACTTTTATAAAAATCCACTGCGTTACTTACACGCCGTTGAACAACCAACCATCCGCCTCCATCAGTGTCCTCATCACAATACACATCCACGCTGCTGAGATTAAGCTGTGGTATCTGAATTTTGTAAACACCACTCTTAGAGGTTGCAGCTGTTGCTTCTATACAACTAGACGGTGTGTATACTGGTCCTCTGAAATAAACCGTTAACAACAATGACTACTACATTAATTAGCTAATCATTTTTACTGTTTCGTAGGTGAAGGCTTTTCGATTTCCGAAGTTTTATTGTCGTTTAAGGGTTGCTTTTCGCTTTCCGACTTTTTAATGTCGGCCTTAACTTCACTACTGCGATCTTCAACGATATTATCTTCAACGACACCGACTTGGACTGCAGAATTGCAAATGCAACCGCACGCTTTACTTGATTCATTATCCTGGGCGAAGCAAAATCTGATCTGGAAAAATAAAATACAATGCAACAAAATAATGAAAGCAAAGCGCAACATTTTTCCACAAGTGTTGTGCGAACTCTTCAGCACCCGAATTAAAACTACCACTTACTGACAAATGGACTTAATCAAGTAAAGTATTATACATATGGTTTACTTAAGATTTACATAAATGAAGTTCGATATAGGTATGTATATAGCCCATACGCAAATTCAGCTGTTTATAAAAGGAATTTATAATTTGTGGGGTATTGCGATAAGAGTTTTGTAACTATTTAGTGACTCAATTTCACAAAGATGAGTTTCGAAACAAGAAAAAACGATATCTTTGGTTGTATCATAGCTATAATACCCTTCACTAATAAAAAAGTGTGCCGTACAAGGACATGATTTTGATGGTTCAATTTGTATGGCTACTATGCTATAGTTATCTGATGTGAACAATTTATTCGGGAGTTATGGCGTTGTTTTGGGTTATACTCGACTTGAGTTGATACTAGAACTTGACTTTTATTAGTCATTTTGTATGCCAGCTATATGCTATAGTTGTTCGATATCGGCGGTTGCGACAATTGAGCAGCTTCGTGAAGATAAAATGGCGTGTGCAAAAATCGATATCTTATCGATATCTAGTTCGCGTAGTTACAGAAAGATGAACATAGTCAAGTCACATCACCTGATCATATATATATATGTTTTTTTTTTCATACGGTCTTCGACGTTTCTTTTTGGGTGTTACAAACTCCTTGGGAAACTCAATATAACCTGTTTAGAGTATAAAGGTATAGAGTCTTGTATATGAAAGTGATCAGGATGACGAGAAGACTTGATTTACGGTAGTATGTCTCTCTCTTTTCCCGTTCGTCCGTCTGCGATAACTTATGATGTAACTCATCAACAAGGGTGCTATGAAAGTTAAATTCAATACCAATTTTTACTAGGAGGAGGGTGATCCATATTCAGTTAATATTTTTTTCCAAGTTTAATATATTGAGACCGTTTATATAATATACTTTATACAAATTTCAATAAATGAAGGGTGTTTTTTTAGACATGTGGTTTTCAAGAAGAAATAAAACGCATAAAATTTAATGTTATGGCCAAGAATTTAGGTTTAATACAAAGATAATAGTTTGCCATTGTGTTTTAAAAATAATTTCGAACAATTCCCTGCCACAGTTGGCCCGTCAGCAATAACGCGTTGAGTATTCTCTTTTAAAGCGGCAATTGTCTCAAGCTTATCTGCGTAGTCCAGTGGCGTTAAATTGCACCATCTTGGAGGCCACGACGCGAGATAATGCACTCACCAAAAGCTTCTTACAATAAATTGATTATTTCTTTGGCTGTATGACATATACATAGCACCGTCTTGTTGAAACCAAAGGTCCTCCACATCAACACCCTCAAATTCAGGCACAAAAAAACCATTGATTATTACTCTATAGCGTTACCCAATGACTGTAACATTATAGCCAATGATTTCCTCTGCCCATAGAGCACACCAAAGAGTGATTATTTGGGAATGTAACGGCGGCTCGACAATATCTTGTGGATTATCATCAATCTAAATGCGAGAATCCTATTTATTAACGTACCCATTGTGAGCTTCATCGCTGAACTGAATTTTCTTGTGAAAATCGGAATCGGTGGCCATCTCGTTTTGGGTCCACTCACCGAACGTACGACGTACTTGATAGTCGTACAGCGTAAATTCTTGCATAAGTTGGATTTTGTAAGCCCACGAATCAAGATCCCTTCGCTATATCGCCTATAAAGTGTATTGGTCCAGCACGAGTTGTATTGGGTTATGACGGATGGACTAATTCGGGTCTTCTTCGATACTTTGCTCCACCGCAGCAAAAGCGTATTCGGTGCAAACTACACGGCGTCTCTGCGGATGCGCATTATCCACTAGAGTAAACGTGAAGAGAAACCGATTCATGGTTGCACTAATTACCGACTCTGCTGGGTGATTATGTCGACCGAATATTAGACGAAGCGCGCGATGCGTCGTAGGAACCGAATCATAACTTGGTAACAAATTAGCACGATTTGCAAAATATGTTTCGGAGTAAGTCTGTTTATTATGAAATGGAATTACACGATCATCTAATTTTCTTAACATATCTTACACATTTACCGATATATATATAAGCTATAAATCCAAATGGAAGTTTGGAACTCCTACATTAGGTAGTATTGACCCGATTTTATCTATTTTTGGCATCAAGACATATTACTACTTTTAGACTTTTCTACGAAGATAACTGCCATGTTGACCAATATATGAGATAAAAAGTCAACCTGAACTTTACAAATCCTTATATTAACCATATGGTGGCTTAGGGAAGCATTGATCCGATTTTACCATTTTTTAGCACCAGGGCTTACGTAGGAAGGGACGTTCACTTACTTTCATTGTTATATCTCATACATATAACATACGCAGACCCCATTTACAGCTAAAAGTGAAGTTGAATACAAGTAAGGTATATTGAAAAATTAATGGTATTGTAATTTGTAGTATTGATTAATACACTATATAAAAATGCTCGTTCGAAATGCAAATAGTTAAAATGGAAACGTGTTTCTTAAAAACCTCGATTTAAACTGTTTTTCATTAGTTTTCTCCAGCAATTTTGTGTAGGTCGTATCATCATTACCGAATATCGTAAAGGTAACTCCTTTTCAATACCATGCCAGTTTATACCGTATCTATGAATTGCATTGAAGTTTCCATTCAAGTGACTGAAATATTAAAGATAAAGCATAATATAACGCTTATATGCAAAATGTTTTTACCTATAATAGCAAAATTTAAACCACCAACACCCCTTAAATTTTTGAGCACAATTTCTATCTGGATCCTCATCATTATCACGATCAAGCGTTGTAAATTTCATTCCCAAATGATAAGTTAAGGAATCGCCAGCAGTGCCGCTATAAGTACCCAATTCCTTCAAAGAAAACTCCTCTGACTCGGAACCAATAAGAAATTTTGAATATTTTGCATAGTATACGTCGCCAGTATCTTTTTTTAGTTTTATATACAACTCCTGTTCACAGCTACTAGTGAGTGTGTGCAATTTTTCCAAACCGATCCAATAGTTTTCGTTTATGTCGCCAAATCCCAATTTATAGTAATTCCAACCTATAAAAAAATCCACTGCGTTACTTACACGCCGTTGAACAACCAACCATCCGCCTCCATCAGTGTCCTCATCACAATACACATCCACGCTGTTGAGGTTAAGCTGTGGTATCTGAATTTTGTAAACACCACTCTTAGAGGTTGCAGCTGTTGCTTCTATACAACTAGACGGTGTGTATACTGATCCTCTGAAATATACCGTTAACAACAATGACTACTACATTAATTAGCTAATCATTTTTACTGTTTCGTAGGTGAAGGCTTTTCGATTTCCGAAGTTTTATTGTCGTTTAAGGGTTGCTTTTCGCTTTCCGACTTTTTTGTGTCGGTATTAACTTCACTACTGCGATCTTTAACGATATTATCTTCAATGACACCGAGTTGGACTGCAGAATCGCAAATGCAATCGCACGCTTTACTTGATTCATTATCCTGGGCGAAGCAAAATCTGATCTGGAAAAATAAAACACAATGGAACAAAATAATGAAAGCAAAGCGCAACATTTTTCCACAAGTGTTGTGCGAACTCCTCAGCACCCGAATTAAAACTGCCACTTACTGACAAATGGTCTTAATCAAGTAAAGTATTATACACATGGTTTACTTAAGATTTACATAAATGAAACTCGATATATGTAAAGGGTGTTTTTTTTATAGGTATAGAACTTTAAATTGCCATAAAACAGCGATGTTTGTTATTTATACGAAAGATAATCTTATGGCATTACATTTTAAATAGGATTTCTGGCATTTGTCCGCCACGGCTGGCTCGGATGTAGTCCAATCTGGACAATTTTCGATGACTTTTTCCAGTTTTTGTGGCCGTATATCGGCAATAACACGGCGAATGTTGTCTTCGAAAAAAAGTGTTTGTGGCTTATGCGCATAGACCAATGAGTTTACATATCCGCACAGAAAGTAGTCGGGCGGTTTTAAATCACCAGACCTTGGAGGCCAATTTACAGGTCCAAAACGTGAAATTAGGCGGTCACCAAACGTGTCTTTCCATAAATCGATTGTGGCACGAGCTGTGTGACATGTTGCGCCGTCTTGTTGGAACCAAGTGGGAATGAAAAAGTTAATAATTATCGCTCTATACCGATCACCATTGACTGTAACGTTCTGGCCATCATCGTTTTTGAAGAAGTACGAACCAATGATTCCACCAGCCCATAAAGTGCACCAAACAGTCAGTTTTTCTTGATGTAACGGTGTTTCGACATACACTTGAGGATTAGCTTCACTCCAAATGCGGCAGTTTTGTTTGTTGACATAGCTATTCAACCAGAAGTGCGCTTCATCGCATCATACGATAAAATGAACGTAGTGCGCAATACATATTCCGCACAGAACCATTATTTTCGAAATAAAATTGCACTATTTGCATGCGTTGTTCAGGCGTGAGTCTATTCATGATGAATTGTCAAACCAAACTGAGAATAAATCACTAGACAGCTGTTAAATCGGCCGCCATCTTGAACAGTAATGCCAACTTAAAGTTCTATACCTCGAAAAAAACACCCGTTATATAGCCTATATGCAAATCCAGCTGTTTATAAAAGGAATTTATCATTTGTGGGGTATTGCGATAAGAATTTTGTAACTATTTAGTTACTCAGTTTCCCAAGGATGAGGTTTACCTAAAACTAATAGAAACAAGAAAACACGGCAACTTTGGTCACAGTAGTTAGTAACACCCAAATGGAAACGTCCGAGACTTCATAAAATATATATAATTACGATCAACATGAGGAGCTAAGTCGATTTAGCCATGTCCATCTATCATATGTACGCGCACTTATCTCTCAGTTTATGAGATATCGATCTGTAATTTCGCGCAGACCCTTTTATTCTCAAAAAGCTGTTCATTTGTCGTAAACGCCGATGTGCGAACACTATAGCATAGTCTTAAATGTCATGAAAACTAGCCGATTTAAATCAAGTTCTTATATGAAAGCCCTTTTTATTTTACGAGATATCTTCACGAAATGGTTAAGAGCGGATTACTATAGCATAAAGCTTTTAAACAAAGTCAACAATCAAAATTAAGACCTTGTATTGAAAACATTTTTATTTGGCAAGATATCTCCACGAAATTTAGCATGAAAATCATGACACTAATAATAGTTCTTGACCTTCGAATCGGTTGAAACTATTTGCAAAAGTCAAAACGTTTTTGGGGATATAAAATTAAATTTATATAAAATAATATAATTATAATATCTGGCTTTAACCTCTACAGTTCGAAATCGTTGATACTATTTCCATTAGCTCTCTTCTATTCGCCAGAACTTGTACAGTGCTGAATCAAACAAACAAATAGTAGAAATTTACCAAATTTACATATCAAATGGTTAATAGATCACTCGCCCTTGCTTTATCTTTTCTCAATGGAGCGAGAAGAAAAATGGCGATTGATTATTTCACTTGACTTGATGATATTTTTATGACAGTCACTCTGTCGCACACTACTTCAGCAACAACAATTTGTTTCGCTACTTAAATTAATTCAAGCATAATAGGCCATTGATTGTTGAGCACTGATTAATTTAGCGCATCAAGAAGCGCTCTCACAATCGACAAGTAATACTTGTATTTCAAACAGTCACCAACACAAAAACGTGGACCGAATCATCTGATACGACCTATCTAATGAGAGCGCAATGTAAATGAACACTCACCACCGCTTCTACCGTCCGTTTTTACAGACCTTACGGTAGGATATCCGCGAAAATTGGATTTTTCCCGTACGAATGTGCTGAGAGAGCAATCTCTTGCAACGCAAAGTTGCCAGTCTCGATATTTTGTAGTAATTACAAAATAAACTTGAACATATCTGAAATATTCTGAAACTAACTCAAAATCACAGTCGAATACCTTTATTTATAAATAGGTTAACTATTTTTATACAATCGCAACATGTTGCTATAGAGTATAATAGTTTTGTTCGCCTAACGGTTGTTTGTATCACCTAAAACTAATCGAGCTAGATATAGGGTTATATGTATATACTTACACATAGCCAATGAAGCCAAACTTTTTACATGTACAAGTATTTCTTTTTTATATTTTTAAGTTCAAAATGCAAAAACAAAAATGAACATTTTTATTTCCATTTTTGTGATAACGGGATTTTAGTGTAAGAACACCACTGAAGCGATAATAACAAAATTAAGTGCGGACAAATGATTTTAGCACCTCTATGAAATGACTTTATAGAAACCGCGTTCAAAATTTTAGAGTGGGCGTGGCACTGCCCATTTTTAGGTGAAAACCCACATCTTGGGATCTGCTTAACCGATTTTAACCAAATTCGGTATATAACATTATTTTCATATTACTATGTTATAGTGCAAAAATTCCCATATAATACCATTTTAAATTCCATGTAATTCTTTCACTTTCCACTATGTAAATCAAGCAACAATGATTGTATCGGGGTGAAAGTAAGCCTGAATAATGTGTTTAATGTTTTCCACCTTACCTGTTAATAGTTGGATTTTAGTTTTGAGCTTTTACATTATGAAAAATTATAACTAAGAAACTCTACGTTTGAAAAATCATGTATACAAATTGAACAATGGCAACATTGGTCAAATGAAAACAAGAGAGAACAACTGATTTCTACGTTGCCACTACGGGCATAACTTTTGACAAATTTGATTTGATACGGGCTGAAAGGCGGATTGTCAGTGACTGTTTCTAGCATAGCAGTAGCGAACATTCGTTTATGTAATCATTTAAAAGATTAATTTCTGTGATTTTGTGCGTACATTTGGAGTGAATAGAATAATGTTTGAATCAACGATATGTATATTTTTGCTTGTATGTGTAATGTTTGAGTCATGGAATTATATACATATATATTCATATATAGATACATACATACGCATGTAGTGCAGCAGAGCAACTTGCCATTATTCCCCATCCATTTCCTGTTTGATTTCAATAATCATTTATTGTTTGTATGTGTAAACATAACTGTAAATATATACAATGACATTTTGTGTACTAATCACGAGTAAAATTGTCTACACATGTCAACGCAACAAAATGCAGCAAGCCTACAAGTCGTCAGACCTCCAACCTGCCAGCATGCTAAACGTTTCCAACGCTTTCAATTGCATCAGCGATGTCGTTTGCAGAGCAAAATTAATGCAGACACGATGCAGATAACTAAAAAACCAATCGCTTTCATATATTGTATATACATACAAACATACATAGATACTTACATAAGTAATGTACATAAGTAATTACAAAGCTGTTTCGCTTCCGGTCATTGTAACGCTGACAATGTCATGCAACGCGTTAACTGACTGACAGACGAACTGGGGAAATATTTTTTTTCGCCATTTGATTAAGTCAACACCACACAGTCTGCACGCCACCCATTTATTTAATAATTTGTTCAACTTGAATTTTTTTCCCAACAAATATTTTGTAGTTTATTGAATTTGATTATAATTTCCGTTTAATGAATTGCACACAATTAATTTACTGCAAATGTTTGAATTGACAATCGTACCATTCACAAATGCAGAAGTTTCCTTAAAGAACTTGAATTCGATTGTTCAGTTTGTATGCTATACGATTTAGGGGTTCGATCTCGTAAATGTCTTCAGATATTGTAACGTTGGCTTAAACATTAAGCTTTGCCAAATGTGGTCGTCAAATATAAAAAATTTTCTACAAGGTCTTTATTTTTATACTCCCGCAATACGTTGCTAAAGAGCAAAATAGTTTTGTTCACCTAACGGTTGCTTGTATCACCTAAGACTAATTGAGTTAGATATAGGGTTATATATATATAAATTATCGGGATAAAGAGACGAGTTGAAATCCTGGGGACTGTCTGTCCGTCTGTCTGTCCGTCCGTCCGTCTGTGCAAGCTGTAACTTGAGTAGAAATTTCTATACCACTGAAGCTATAATAACAAAATTCACTGAAAACCGACGCTTTTAGCCCCTCTATCGACAGTGTGAAAAGTGAAATCGGGTGACAACCCCGCCCATTCCCCATATAGCGGTACTGTTAAAAACTACAAAAGGCGCGATAAATCAAGCACTAAGCACGCTAGAGACAATACATTTTATCTTTGGAATGGTATGAGATGGATTTATAGGAACCGACTTCAAAAGTAGACAGTGGGCGTGTCACCGCCCACTTTTAGGGGAAAACCCATATTTTGGGATCTGTTTAACCGATTTCAATCAAATTCGGTACATAACATTCTTCTCATATTTCTATGTAATAGTGCGAAAATGGGCGAACTCGGATTACAACCACGCCTATTCCCCATATAACACCATTTTAAATTCCAGCTGATTCTTTCACTTTCCACTATGCAAATCAAGCAACAATGATTGTATTGGGGTAAAACTTTGCGTGAATAAGGCGTTTAAAGTATGCCACCAAAAGTTGTCTAAATCGAACTAAAACTGTTCAAGCCCCTAGGTACTGAATATGTGGACCTCATTGCCTATAGTTGACTTTTTACCGAAAAAATCAGTCAATGTGTAAGATATATAATGCATAATGATAGTATGTCTTTGTGT